AATTTATTACAAACGCACATTTTACTAGTCGATTTCTATATGGGTTCTTGACCTATCTTAGACAGAATTTTTATTTATTTGGACAGGATCATTACCTGAAACCTAGTATGCCTTTTATCTGAAAACCTACAAAAAATTGGAGACTGATGCTTTATAATAAAAATTTTCTGACAGGACTAGCCTAACTATTTAATGACTTTTAATTGTAGCTGATTCTTTGTAGAGAAGTGTTGAGATGAGAAAATATCTTGAAATAATTATTTTCTACCTTGTAATAAGTCTAATTCTATGGTGTAGGGTGAAAGACTGTCGTTTGAAGTAATTAAATTAATCGTTTTTCAGCACCACCTCTTATAAGCAGTTGTCATTTTTTTTGGCTATTATTTGCAGTTAATGAATCCAAATGTACTTAAAGTATTCTAATACTGCAGTAGAAAAAACGACCTTAAAAGAATGACGGTATCTTTTCTTTTAGAAATTAACAAATTTCTTGATACATAATCTTTCTCTCTCTCTCTCTCTCTCTCTCTCTCTCTCTCTCTCTCTTTCTCTCTTTCTCTCTATCTATTTCTAATACAAAAATAAGGAAATAAGGATAGATTGTTGCCGTTTTACTTGAACAAGATGTACGCAATAGAAGGAAAAGATCGAAGTATATTAGCATTGCTAATATGTGTCAAATAGAAGAAGAAGAGTGTACTTTTCTTCTGTTCTTTCTTTCATCTTCTACTGGAAAACTCACGGACTATTCCTACATACGGAAGAAATGACGCAGAAATAGACTTACGATTAAGATTTTGCGTGTTTCGCAAATAAAATAAAAAAAAAGAAAAGGTTCAAAAATCTTTAAATATTCAAAACAAAACAGAAATACGAGAATCAGAAAAACGATTATTTTTTTATTATAAGAATAGAGTAAAGAAGAAAAAATACAGAAAAGATGGGAAAGAAAGAGAAAGAGAAAGAGAGAGAGAGAGAGATGAGGAACATGTTTGTGTGTCACGCATTTTTTATCAATGTGTATATCAATTAGAAACTTCAATTTCTTTGTGCTGTTGAGCTATGTGATAGAGAGATAGATAGATAGATAGATAGATATTCCCAAAATGATTATGTTACAATACATTGACATTTTTTTAATAAAAAAACACCAACTTTTTTTGACATGTTGAAGAATACCACATCGATTCGAAGACATATTAAAAATCAGAAACAAAAAAGATAAATAGAATGATGAATAAATTTTTTTTCTTTATCAGAAATGAATTCGATATACAAAAGATGAAACTTGTAACAAAAGTAGATAGGACAAGTGACATTATATACGAATAAGAATGAAGATCAATCGTTATAAACAAAATTTCATAGTGTAGAAGAGTCAATGACAATTATAATAAAGAAAACGTCTAGTGTTCACCACTCCTCATGATACAGTAGAATAAATATTTGCTCTTGGCGAGACCGATTCGGAAGTTCATCATTTGAACTTTTCCAGATCTATGTTCATAATCTATCATCTTTATCTTTAGCATAATATATCCATAACATGTTTTCGAGACAATTTTAAAAGGTGACATCGTCTACTTTTTGATTTAAAAAGATTTAAAATCAAAATTTATTGAGTTTTGTGAATTTCGATTTTTCTGGGACTATGGCAAAAACTTGGAAATTTAAAGTTTCAATTACTGAGTTTTTTGAAATGATTGAAGTTGTAGGTCTCTAGATCGAGACTCTTTTGATTAATTTAGTCTTTTTTTCAGAAATTTGAGTTGAACTCTATGCGTATCTAACAGTATTTGCTGCGAGTACAGTACAACACTCTAAATAGTCTATTTTAGGTCAAATCTGTTTAGTGAACAAATGATCCTACAAATAGTTACATTTTCGGAATTTATTGATAGGATTTTTTTAATGTAAGTCTGTTTAAAAGTATTTTGCTCTATCTATCATGTCAAATCACATCTAAAATTATTGAATATATATACAATGAAATGTACACATAATTCTATGATGTAGTAGACTAGACACTCATCCATTTTTACATTTCTTCTTTTTTTTTTGATTCATTGCTTCTTCTTATTTCTATTTTTACTTTCATTAGTTACTGGTACCCGTGTCTTGAGCAAACAACCTATTTCTTCTTCTCCTTTTTTTTTGTCACATCTCTATCTAATCTTCAATTTGACTGGCTCTTGAAAAAAAGACAAAACTTTTTTTTTGTCTCTTTTTATCGGATGTATGTGTTATATTCTTGAACGAATGTCTCTGGTTAAACCAACCATCGTCTCACCGATGCTTACCGAATAAGACGGATCTTTTTTTTTTACACCGCATTGAGTACGGAACATATTATCTTTTTTTTCCTTTTTTTCTTTGTCTCTCATATAGTTTTTTTCCATATGTCACCGGATGAGTGAAAACTAGAAAAAAAAAAAAAAAACGTTCATTCCATTCTCTTCCATTCACGGTGCTTATCATCAACGTACATGTGAACGGTGTTAGTACTTTTTTTTTTCTTCTCTTTTTCTATCTCGACTGTTCATCATCGAAACTCACGGAAAAGGAGAGACGCATACCGTCAAAAAAAAAAAAAGAAAGAAATAGAAAAACTTTTTGAGACATGGCATTTATTTGAATTCTATTCTCGTATAATAAGAACTCAACCATCCATTTATACACATACAACATATAGAGAAATTTTGCGATTTGTGTAAAATATTTCTCTTGTCCGTACATCCAATTATTAAAAAGGTGCGTTTGAAAAAGAAGAAAAAAAAAGAAGTGACATTTTAAATATAAACGAATCAAACCCAAATGCGAGAAAAGAGAAAGAAACAGACGTTTAATTGAACAGGTAAGAAGAAGAAGAAAAAAAAATCTTATTCGTTCAACATTTTTACTTATGTGAGTGAGAAAACATAATTTATTATTCAAAGAGTAACAAATATTTCTAGACGTTCGATAAGAAATTTTGAATTTGTGTTGATGGACTGATTTTTTTTGTTTTGTTGAAATTAATCCACCTGTCTGAGACAAAGAAAAGATTTCTATCTGGAAAGGATTTTTTTTTCTTCAGTTTAAATCGAAAACAGAAAAAAATAATATACTTTATGTTTGAGTATGTCTGAATGAACTGTTAGTAAAAATATTAATATTGATTTCTCTCTCTATATGTATTTATGTAAATCAGTGTGCTTAGATTAGACGTCTTCCTATTTCTTTTAAAATAATACAATTATTTTATAATATTCTACTTGCTTTTTCTTACATTCTGTTGGAGAAAAAAAATGTTTTGGTTAGTGATAGAATATGTCAAAAAGCATAGTATAGAGAAACAGAGAGAGAGAGAGAGAGAAGAAGAGGGGAAAAAGAGAGAATAGTGAGTCTACTCGGAAATTCATCTAAAAATGTAACAAATTTGATTTTTGACGAAAGAAAGACGAGAAAACAATTTTTTTTAGACGTGCGCAAGTAATTTACAGAATTCGCCTACCGTTTTCTTTTAAATCGTTTTTCGATGTTATTTTTTGAAAAAAAAAAAAGAAGAAAAAGAAATCCTGAACTCGAACTTGTCCTCTTAATTATTTTTATCTATCTTTTTTTTTCTTTGCGTTTTGTTCGAGTAGATATGTAAATAGAATAAGATGTGTTGAAAGTTTTTTTTTTTTTTTTTTTAACAGAAAAAATAAATACAGAGAAAGATAGGAATGAGACAAAGTGGATGAACATAGTAAAATAGAGAGAAAGATTAATGAGTTTTTTTTCTCTTCGAGTTTAAACAGTAGTACATCTTTTGTACAGTTGCGTTAAGAATAAAATTCTTGAAATTAAAGACAAAATGTTTGACGATTGATTATAAAGAGAAAGAGAACATTTTGAAGGGTAGACATGCGAAAAAAAAATGAACGTATTACTAAAAAAGCAAAAAAAAAGAGTTGATTCTACAGTTTTAGAGTATCAATAACAAGTTCATTGTCAAACTTTAAAAAAAAAAGAAATTTGAATGTTTTAGTGTTTTAATCTGATTAGTTGAGGATAAAGATGTTGAACACAAATCTGTTTCTCATAAATATAAAGATATGGTTTAAAAATAACAGAGGTATACTATGTGTGTATTATTTTATTTTTCTCCATAATATCTTGATTAATGTTCCAACTTTAAATTGTAACAAATGTAGTATTGTTTCATAAACGAAGCTACTGTTGTTAATAATCAACTGTTGAATCATACTATTCTTTAATATTATCATGCTGATTTAGTTTTTCTCTTCTGTTCTATATCTACTCTTAGTAATCGCGATGATTTAACTTGTGTTTATCCGTCATAAGCACAAACTCTGCATGATAAGATTGTTATCATAGGTAAGAGAAAATTGATGATCAAATCAGAAAAAAAATCAAAATAAAAGGAAAATGATGATGAGATTATCTATTGATTTGAGAAGAAGAAGAAAAAAAAATGTACCATGAAGAAGCTCTTGACTGACAGTGTGTGTGCACATTTTTCACGCCTGCGTATGAATGAATACGTTTAACATTTTAATGTCGATTGTGTTTGTTTCGAATTAAGATTTGATATCGTATTACAAGAGAGAAACAAAAACATCTCTATCTACTGTTATGTCGATATTAACACATTTAATGTGTGAAACCCATTATACTTTATTTCTATAACATCATCAGAAATAAAAGACAACATTGTCTGAAAAAGACCCACCAATATTGATAACCGGGCAGGTGGACACCGGTCAATTTAAGAAGATAAAAAAATATAAATCACATTGTAGCAGAAAAAGATATCTGATAAGAGTTGAAATTTTAATATATGTAATAAAAATTTTCATCTGGGCAATCACATTCGAATATGTCATTTTCTAAAACGTCAATAGAATATGTTCACGTGTGAGCAAACTTCTTTTCTTTTTTTTTTTGTACTCTTTACACTGATAATCATCTATAAGTTGATCTGATGTTATTTTGAATTTTAGAAATTGTTGCAGATGCAATTACCTGTCGTTCTGGCTGAAACCCAAATGGATCCAGAAGAATTGGAGCATTTTTCTGAAAATGGTGCGTGTGAGAGGACGACATATTTAAAGTTAAGTTTTATTTATGCATGTTTTTTTCATTTTTTTAGCTCATTTTAAAGTATACAAAGAATCAATGAAAGACGATGATATGGATGAATGTGATAGTAGTACAGTTTTAAAACAACAACAACCTCATAAGAAAACTTGTAACGATGAATTTGATGATAAATCAAATTTTACAACTGAAATAGAAGAAAATCATCATGACGGAGAAAATGGAACTATTGAACATGAAGATTTAGAATTAGATAATGTCGAGGAAGAAGAAGATATTTCTCAACCTGGTAAGTAAACTAAACAATTGTTACTAATGAGAATGAAAATCGTCTGATCTATAGAAGAATAATTCAAGTTATTTTTGATAAGTGTGCTGGTAAACGAGACAGAAGGTTCGATAATTTAATTGTTATGACAAAAAAAGTCTTTGATCAATGTCCCCCGAGTGGTAGTAGTAGTAGTAGTAAGAGTGATCAGTTCATTTTTTTTATTCTGATATCTATCTTTCTTTCTCTCTCTCTATGTACATAGAAGACCTGTTGAGCTGTGACGAACAAAAGCCGAGTGTACAGTCTGTTGCAAATAATGATCTTCTCATCATGTGATTTGTCTTCATTCTTGTACATTGGCATTCATGACGATATATTGAGACAAGAAATTTAAATAAGTGACTATTGAACATCCTTTTGAATTTTAATATATATATCGTATCGGCGAAAGAGAAAAAAAAAACGAGTTATTGTTCTGAAAAACAAGAAAGAACGAGAGATCATCGATCAACTACTGTGGTAGCGGTATTATATCAAAAAGATATTTTTTTAAAACCATGTGCCATATAAAAAAAAAACGATGCCTTTATCTTATTAAATGACTTTGATCAATTCTGGGTGGTTAGCTTTTGAACAATGAAACTATTTTTCACGTTCACATTTGTTGTGTCAAAATAAAAAGAAGAAAAAATTAAACAGACAATATACACAGATAATAGACTTCATGGAATGATCAATGATTTGGCTTAACCGCCTACTTTGTTTTCATAAACGTGTTGCTTGCGGACTTTCATTCTTCTCTTCTTTTTAAGATTTGTTTGACTCTTAGTTATTTCAGGTAATTATTCTAGTTTAAGTTTGAATAGAAGGTATATTTCGTTCAAACGTATCATGAATAAAAGAAGAGAAGAAGGGATGAGTATAATGAACATAAGATAACGAATAACGGAAGTGTATAGGTAGTCTATCGACTTGAAATATTTTCATATTTTGATATATATGTTTGTAATGATAGTACGGATTTTAAAATCTGAATGACCAATAGCATTGGTTCAACATACAGCTCCATCTTATCATTTCTACGCATATTAATGAAAATTTACATTTCTACTGAATTGACACAAGTTTCATTTTCAGAATAAATAGAGTTGTAAAATACTCATGAATTTCTCGTACTAGTAGAAGTGAAACATATGAATTGGCTCAATGAACGTGTATTGATCGAGATCAGCAGGAGCTAAGATAAAAATGGCAAATACTCCCAGATGGTAGATCATTGTGATATATATATACATGCATACATATATCGTTTTTGAAGTGTACGAAAATGTCATTGGTAACTTTCGTAATAGTTCAATCTGTTATGATTAGATGAGAGAAGAGTGTTTACATTAATTCTTGCAGAATGAAATTCAAGTGATTCTTTGATGTTGGTAATCGTTTTTGTTTCTCACATACAGAAATTACTGTTATTTCATATAAGCTACAAGCATTGATTAACATCGACAATCTCTAAAATGATATAGACTATTCTTTCAAACGCAGCACATATATACTTACCAAATAATAGAGAAAATCAGAAATTGTGCTAATTATTTCTACTTTTTATAGACATAACCGTGTCCACTGTGGAATCTCAATTATGTACACCATTAAAATGTCCATATTGTGACGATGAATTCGTTCACTTAAGTCAATTACAAATTCATGCTGCCCAATTTCATGAAAATCAAGCCGAAATTATTAATTGTACACATTGTAATGCAACATTTACAAATAAGGTAAGACTACCGATTTCGATAAAGAAAACCAATATACTATATTTTTTTAATAAATTTCCACCTCAATTTAAGGATGATCTTCAACATCATTTATCGAGCCATATTGCTAGCCAAGTTGCATGTCGATTATGTCAGAAAATGTTTGCGAATATTTATCGTTTACAGCGTCATATGCTTAGTCATGAAATTGATCCACAAACAAGAAAATTCAAATGTATGCATTGCTCCAAAGCATTTAAATTTAAACATCATTTAAAAGTAAGAATCAACGTAGTGTTTTAAATTTAACTGGTTCTCTATTAAAATGTTTGATACGTCTAGGAACATGTGAGAATACACACTGGAGAAAAACCATTTGTATGCGGTAATTGTGGAAAACGATTCTCACACTCTGGCTCATATTCAAGTCACATGACATCAAAAAAATGTTATTCATATCAAACAATGGCTAGTACTGCTGCTACACAAAATTCAGCCGCTATTTTAAGTAAGTATTTAGCTCTTGTAATTTGAAAAGTCACTTGCTAATGAACTACATTGTCTTTGTAGATGCAAGATGGCCTTCAACTTTGGCTGCCGCATTAGCAGCAGCTGCCGCAAATGGAAATCTTCCTCTACCACCGCCAGCATTTTTAGCGGCGTTTCCGAATTCATACATTCCAAAATTTTCTCAGCAGCAGCAACAACAACAAGTAATTCAGCATTCCAGACTTGATTCATTGACAAAATCGAATAATAATAATAACAATAACATAGATTATCAAAGGTTAAATGGGCATTTATTTCCAGTATCATCTTCAGCATCGCCAAATAACGATCGAACACAGAAGAAACGACGACATTCTGATTCAAAATCACCTTCACCGTCGACATCACAATGGACACATTTATCAGCATCAACACCAAATACTAGTGCCAATACAAGTCCGCCTGCTAATAATAATATGCATCAATCAAATGAGCATCCATCAGCCTCATCTTCACATGGTAATAATAGCACGAATAACATTAATATAGAAATAGAAGCTGGTGAAATTTTGTCAACAACTACAAGTCCTAACACAATTTATGAGAGAAAAAGAAAAAGTCACCTACCACTAACATCTGAATGTGAGTCAAATCGATTATCAACGGTTGCTGCAACAAACGGTCATTCATCTACTTCATCAACATCAACAACTTCAACGACCTCTTCGCCATCATTCCACAATTTTTTGCCAGATAAACAACAAATAAATATGTTACGTGCCCATTATGCTTTAAATCCAAATCCAAATTCAAATGAATTGCATGAAATATCCAAACGTGTAGGTTTAAGTGAGCAACATGTTCAACATTGGTTTAATATATTATGTACATCCTATGCAGCTAATGTTAATAATCATCGAAATACTAGTAATAATAACTACCTCAAATCATTACCAACAGCAACAACGTCATCGTCTTACATTCCTCTCTCTCTTCCCACTTTACCAACGCCACATCAACAATCTCAGCCATTACCGTCTCCATTTATTCCATTAGCGTATTATCATTTGAGAGCATCATTATTAGCGGCAGCCAATGCACAAACATTCTCACCTACTGTTTCATCATCCTATTCATTAACAAAAGCCCAACAACCACCACCGCAACGAGAACAAACCGAACCGTTAGATTTAACTGTTAGAAAACAAATTACACGATCATCTTCGACATCATCGTGTTTAACTCACACAAAAACTAACAGTAATTCATTATTTTCAAAGACAAATGAAATGATGAATGTTAAAACAAACCATAAAATAAATGCTGAACAATTTGCTGCATTGCATATGTCTGGTGCACTTCAAAATCATTCAACGAATGACTCTAACAACGAATTACCGTTCAAATGGTTTGATAGTAGTGCAAGCAATGGAAACAAACTTGAATGGATTAAGGTAAAAATATCATTTTTTTTCCAAGTACTGATTAAATAAATCATCAGATTATTTTTTAGCGCGAATCATCTAGTCCAGACAGTGTGAATTATTCATCTGACGGTTTATCAAACGATGGATCGTCAATATGTGGTGGCGATGGTGGACAATCGCTGTCATCTCGAAAAAGAAAATCATGGAAAAATCATATGACTGGTGATATGTATGCATGTGATCTATGCGATAAAATGTTTAGTAAACAAAGTTCATTAGCCAGACATAAATATGAACATTCCGGTATATAATTTCAACATAACAAAGTCTTAATACGTTGAGTAACAACTATTTTACTTATTTTTCTAGGAGTTCGACCATTTATTTGCGATGTATGTCAGAAAGGTAAAAAAATGACTTATTTTTGATTTTCTTCATATATTTACTGCATCTATTACTCTTTTAGCTTTCAAACACAAACATCATTTAGCTGAACATCGGCGATTACATACTGGTGAAAAACCGTTTCAATGTTCAAAATGTTTCAAACGATTTAGTCATTCAGGTATAATATAAAAGTTGATACCCTCTGTAGTTTTTAATTCTTCAGTGAATGATGATCATCTATACTAAATCTTGTTCTGACATCTGTCTCCAATGATTTCATAATAAGCAATCTTTAATTGAAATTTTTCGAAAGGAAAAAAGTTGAAAATTATTTTATTTCTTTTCTAGGCTCATACAGCCAGCACATGAATCATCGTTATAAATACTGTCGTCCTTATCAAATTGAAGCAACATTAGAGAAATCTGATTCAAAAAATATTAATCTGTCCAACACCGTCAACGATGATGAATATACATTGGCAACAACAATGTCTGATTTTTCCAATCACCATCCTGATAATAATAATACAAATAATAGTTAAAAACTGAAAATTTGTTTTTTTCCAAATTATTTGACAATTGAGATGTGTGCCATACAATTGAGTTGAAAATATAGTTAACTGTTGTTCGAGTTTGCAGCCAGATAAAATTACAAACATTATTGTGATTTCACTGTTACATATTCTATTCTAGTTATTATTTGACGAAATTCATTTTATATTTCTGATCAACCTTACTGTTGCCGTTGTCTTCATGTTGTATTTGTTTGTCTTCTTTTTCTTGTTAAACTTCAGTGGTACATACATTCTACTCACTTCACTGTCTCTATCTCTCTGCTTTTGTTTTTTAGTACTATAAATGACAAAAACTACGTTAGTCAGCTTCTGTAAAAATGATGACTAATAAAATTTTGATGTGTGGTCATTTATTTTTCATTTTTTCTCTCTCTCTCTCTCTCTCTCTCTCTTCATGCTGATAAAACAGGATTTTTTGTGTTTCTGTTTTTTATTTTTAGTCAAATCATCAAATTTCTAGTCGGTTCTTGTTGTTTATTTATATACTAAAAAGGTACCATCTCCTTATATCTCATTTTTTTGTGATTTATTTTTGTTGTTTTCTTTTTTTATAGTCAACACTAAATATAGTGCTTCCACTGTACAGAATATAAGAAAAGATTTATTGTAAGTTCATTAAGAGGAGTTAATCTGATATAAAATGAGTTATTTCAATAAAACGTCATCATTAGGTGATGTTTTGTTTTTGACAATTTTTTATGTTTTGTTCTTGCTTTTGTTTTGGCTCTTTTTTTTATCATCATCCCTATAAATGACATCGATGTTGTAATGTGTTTATTCTTGTTCATCTGAAAAGAGATTAAGCATCTAGATAAATAAATAAAGAAGTAATTTAATTGAAACGGCTAGAAATATGAATTAGTAAATATCTGAAGTACTGGCTATACGCGCCTGGGAAACTTTACTACATAAAACTAGATAATACCGTACATTGCTTTACCTGGTAGTGTAGACAGTTTTATCGAGTCGAGTATGAATTTAAAATCCATTTTGAGCTAACTACACAACTTGAAAGGGCAATGAGAGTAATTTTTGCTTAATGTATTGTCATATATTCAATAGCAATGAGCAATAAAACTATATGAAATGAGAAATATGTACAGTAACTATATGTGAATAAAGGAAGTATAAATAGGATAATTGTTTATATTTATATATATCTTAGCACTGTTTGACGTCTATTGTGCAGAAAAGAAGGAAAATTTACTGCTGTTTTAACGAGATGTAATAACTCTTGTTCAGGACACCTGATCATCTGTAATTGACCAACTTAATTTCTCTTGTCATTGTTCGTTTCCTGCGTTATTTAAAATATAGTACAAACAATATAATATTCATTCAACGTATGCGAGACATTTTATCTGTATATAAATAAAGATCATATTTCTAAAACAGTATGTATATCTTGTGAAAGATGGATATAGAGGAAGCTACTGAAATAAAAGATTATGGTAAAAGTACATGTAGAGTAGTGGCTTTTGGGTATGAGTTTATCTATAATCAAAATAGTATAAGCAAAAGCTGTTTTACATCGTGTGGTAATGTCAGGACAAATTTAAATCTACTGAACAAGATGTGAGACTGTGACACATAACAAGTATTGCACTCATACCAAGATGACAATCGTAGTGAAAGCCACGATTATGATCAGTGGTTATATTGACGTTTATCTTGAAATATTGTTTTGTATAAAAAAATGATTTTCTGAGTGAGCCTTCTTGATTTAAATTTCGAAACAAAGTGTCACAAGATCTAGGACAAGAACTTTTCAGATAGAATGATTCAAAAAATTCATACAAGACTAGGAAGCAGAAACAGGCAGAAGTTAAGAAGATTCTGGATGTCGGAAAGATTGTTTGAAAATTCCTATTTTATAAATGAGCTGAGCTTGATTTTAGTGTATTCAGAGGAAACAAACGAAATAGAGACGAATGATCTTTTTATTTTCAAGGACATTTAGTGCCTAACCTGAAAGAGTATTCTGCAACAGCAATATATCGTTTGATTCGTTATTGTAGGCACTAATGAAGTCAAAACTGACGCGGAAAGCAAGTAAAAACATCCAGACTTTAGTTGTTTGTCGTCCTACTATACGGTTATGCTACATCTGAAACAATATAAGTTACAAAACAGCAACATTCGCTATCCTAGGTCAACACAACAAGAGCTAATTTTTTCAGTTCAAGGGTATGGTTTTCTTGTGTTTATTTCACATTTTATTTAGGAATAAAAAGAGAGAAACAATGTGATAGCGAATAATGTTCTAAAAAGCTTCCCAAGATCCTTTAAGATATTAAATGATGGATTTTTCATAAAACACCCTTCGCTTGCTGAAGTCATAGAGGAAAAATTCAATTATCCATTTGGCTCAAGATCGCAAATTTTGTGCTGAAAATAATAGACAACTAGAGCTATGATGAGAAAAAAATTAGGTCTTGAAATCCTTTAGTGACTGACGAGGGAACCTTTCGAGGTGATTAAACGCTTTTTGTTCGGAATCTAGTGGGTTATAGGTTATCGATCATGCTAATTCCAAATATGACCATAGGAGTTGCCCTTAGCCTCTTGAAGATCCGATTTCTAGAAAACCAATTTTTCAGAAACTGTAAAATATAACCAGAACCTTTCTTAATGAGGCATGATTATAGCCCGCAAAGGTCTGATTAAAATGAGACATTTTCCAGCTTTACACGATCTTTCTTTGCAAAGTTATAGAATTTACAAGAAAAGTCCTAAATTACTTTCGTCTTATTTCTGCTGCTTTGAGCTGACAATGAACACTTAGAACTTTTCTTGTAAATTCTATAACTTTGCAAAGAAAGGTCGTGTAAAGCTGAGAGATGTCTCATTTTAATCAGAAATTTGCGGGCTACAATCATGCCTCATTAAGAAAGGTTCTGGTTATATTTTAGAGTTTCTGAAAAACTGGTTTTCTAGAAAACCGGATCCTCAAAAGGCTAAGGGCAACTTCTATAGTTATATTTGGGATTAGCATGATCGATAACCTATAACCCACTAGATTCCGAGCAAAAAGCGTTTAATCACCTGGAAAGGTTCCCTTGTGAGTTACACAAATATTAGTGATACAGTCGTTCACTCCATGGGCAATGAAAAAAATGCATAACAATTGAAACAAGTCGCATCAGCACAAATCCTCATAGGCTTTTTCTTAGAATGATATCCCTTATATGTGGCAAAATACCAAACAGAATGGCGTGAATTAGTGGAGAACCTTTCCTCGTAAGCTAAAAATACCCACTGTGTATTGGTCTTAAATCTTTAGGCATCATACTATAGATTTGATTTTAGTCAACGTACAATCAACTATTGAATTTGAATATGTTTTTCGAATCAATGAAGGTCAACTTTAGCCTCATGGACTAAAGTTAGTTTCCGACAAAAACAAATCCACTGTAGTTGGCCTGAGATAGTGGACACTGACTGAAGCCGAAATTCCCCCATCACGATGATGGAGAGTATTTATATGTAAACAAAATCACTAATCCACTGAGTGCAACTCCGATATCTATGGTAATAGAAAAAAGAAATGCATAGCGATCCAACTGTTCATAAATAGTATAATCCTAAGCAAATTCAGCTTATTAAAAGAATCTAATGATTAACCTTGCCAGTAGTGATGCAATCGAAACTCTAAACTCTCTTGAGATCACCTCATCATCTGACAGTCTCGATTCCACCACCAGTTTCTGATCAGAGCACTAAAATTAAACCGATTAAAAGCCATGTTGGATATATCCCAGTTGAGCTCTTAGTTATGAGAATTCCAACCGAAAACATAATTGGGATTTGTACATAGTTTAACCATTTTATCTCCGAATACTTTTTATTTAATATCCAAAATGGGATAGGCAGCAGGGTTCCAACTAATACTAAGCAAAGCATTTTATAATTTCTGTGGAGTTAAAGTAATGAATCAGAGAAAATGATTCTCCGCAAATCCGTAACGCTCCCTTTTTAAAAAAGGCAGTTTGCACAAACAGGTCTTTCTCAAAATAGAGAGAGACCAAAGCGCAGACCCAGGAACGTTTTACCCGGTTTTGAGCGTTCTTGTTCTCCTTAGCTGAATGCAAGCTTTAGGAGAAAAAACCATCTTGATAGGCAATTCTAGCCAAAAATCTTCGAAAAATATGACAGGGTAGAACCGCGGATACATTTTAAAAGGGAGTGGATGAATTGCTCCCTTTCTAAAATAACCGCCGATCTAAGCAGATATCTTTTTATCCAACCTTTGTGAACCGCAGTTTTCTACAAAAAGTAACCGCCTTCATCTGCGGGTAAATCGAAAAGGGCGATTGTAGCCAGTTTAGCACACATGTAGATCTCTGCAGTTTCACCAAAATATAACCGTCGAGAACTGCTGCTATACTCCAACGATGCAAAAATAATATCAAAAACACACCCGCGGTTTTAACCCTTTACCCCCCCTTGGTCACTGGAGTGACCATTTGTAGATCGATGGCAAAAAATTAAGAAAGGATGGAATTTAAAAACTTTGGGGAGATATCTTGTAGTGAACTCCATAAGCTATCGATTAGTAAAAAAAAGTATTTTGTTTCGTTGGTTTGTCTCCGAAAAAGATGAATTACAAAATCGATGACTTTTGAAAAATCACAAAAATTGAATTTTTTCGAAAAATATTTTTCCAGCAACAGGCAAGATACATCTTGATAACCTGTTGTGTGGTATATAATGACAATAATGTCTACTATCAATATCAATGCCTTTCGAAAGTGTCAGAAAAGTCAGGTTGATAAGAGATGGTATGACACAGAATGGTCACTGGAGTGTCTATTGGGGGGGAATGACTTGAAAAAGTCCTATTTTGAGCTGTTCGTAAATTTGATATAGTTCGACCAAAAACATCGTAGAGAGCTCAGGGACATCTTATTTTGTAGAGAATTGTTTGCTCTATCATTTTACGTAGTTTGAACAAAATTATATTCACA